AAGGACCCAGGAAGGGGGTAGCTAGGGCAGGGCCTCTGCTGTCGAGAGGGGTGAGAGCAGCGAGGCATCTGGGAGGTATGTAGGCTAGGAGAGCATCTCCAAGATGGCGCCCCTGCTCTGGGTGCCAGTGTATCCAGGGAGGCCCCAGGGTGACAGGGACCTACTGACTGACAGGAAGATGGACAGACAAGGAGAGGGGCCGACTGACAGATGGACACGGAGAGGGGCCGACTGACAGAGGAAGGCCAGGAGAGGGGCCGACTGACAGATGAAGGACAAGAGAGGGGCCGACTGACAGATGAAGGACAAGAGAGGGGCCGACTGACAGATGAAGGACAAGAGAGGGGCCGACTGACAGATGAAGGACAAGAGAGGGGCCGACTGACAGATGAAGGACAAGAGAGGGGCCGACTGACAGATGAAGGACAAGAGAGGGGCCGACTGACAGATGAAGGACAAGAGAGGGGCCGACTGACAGATGAAGGACAAGAGAGGGGCCGACTGACAGATGAAGGACAAGAGAGGGGCCGACTGACAGATGAAGGACAAGAGAGGGGCCGACTGACAGATGAAGGACAAGAGAGGGGCCGACTGACAGATGAAGGACAAGAGAGGGGCCGACTGACAGATGAAGGACAAGAGAGGGGCCGACTGACAGATGAAGGACAAGGAGAGGGGCCGACTGACATGATGGACACGGAGAGGGGCCGACTGACAGATGGACATGGAGAGGGGCCAACTGACATGATGGACAAGGAGAGGGGCCGACTGACAGAGGAAGGACAGGAGAGGGGCCGACTGACCGATGGACAAGGAGAGGGGCCGACCGACATGATGGACAAGGAGAGGGGCCGACTGACATGATGGACACGGAGAGGGGCCGACTGACATGATGGACAAGGAGAGGGGCCGACTGACATGATGGACAAGGAGAGGGGCCGACTGACATGATGGACAAGGAGAGGGGCCGACTGACATGATGGACAAGGAGAGGGGCCGACTGACATGATGGACAAGGAGAGGGGCCGACTGACATGATGGACAAGGAGAGGGGCCGACTGACATGATGGACAAGGAGAGGGGCCGACTGACATGATGGACACGGAGAGGGGCCGACTGACAGATGGACA